GATTGTCGCAGCAGCCAGCGCCGCCGCCGGGCCTGCCGACTCGGCCTCGCCGCCCCGGCAGCCGCCCGGACTTTGTGCCTCCTGAGCACTCAGCACCACCCCCCATGGGCCTACCATGCTCCTGCTGCCGCCGCGCCGCGCCGCAGGCTGGCGCAGATTGCGCGGGAGCGCTTCCCTGAGCAGTATCCCAGCGAGGAGGCGCTGGCGGGGATGGCCAGCCGGGTGCTGGTCTTCAATCCCCACACCTCCCAGGACCTGCTGCACACGCTGCAGGCAAGCCGATGGTGGTGGTGGTCGTGGTGGTGGTGGTGTGTGTGTGTGTGTGTGTGTGTTGTTTGTGTGTGTGTGTGTGAGGCATGATTGAGTAAAGGTGGAGGCGGCAGGCAGGGCAAGCAGGGCAGCTGGCGCCGCTCCGCAGCGGGGACAGCTGCCGCTGTTGCTGCGCCCCCTGCCCACCGCCGCTGCCCTGCCACCGTCTGGTGCCAGCCTCCACACCACCCCAACTCCTCCCGCCCTGCCACCCCGCCGCCCCGCTGACCCTGTCGGGTGCAGTCCCTTGAGGCTACCATCATTGAGCGGCGGGTGCGCCTGGTGCTGCTGGACAGCGTGGCTTCCCTGGCCCGAGCCGACTTTGCGCCCGGCAGCCTGCCCGAGCGGCAGCGCATGCTGGGGCAGCAGGTGGGGCGGGGCGGGGCGGGGTGGTTCGAGGGCCGCAGGTGGCACGTGAGCAGCGAGCGCGGCAGCGGAAGAAGGAGGCTTGTGGGCGGCCGGGAGTGTGGGGCGGCGGCGGGGCCCGTGCTGCGCAGCCGCCGCCCCAGGCGCTTGAAATGTCGCGCCTCTCATGCCCTGCCTCCGCCTGCTGCCCTTGCTGCCCTGCCCTGCCCTGCCCTGCCCCTCCCTGCAGGCCTCCCGGCTGAAGTTCCTTGCGGAGACCTTCCGCATCCCTGTGCTGGTCACCAACCAAGTCACGACCTCCTTTGGCGGCGGCGGCGCGGGCGGGACGGGCGGCACGGGCGGCGGCGGCGGCGGCGGCCACCTGACGGCGGCGCTGGGCACGCTGTGGGCGCACGCCGTCAACACCCGCCTGGTGCTGGAGTCGGTGCAAGGTGCGGGGAGGCAGGCGGGGGCCTGCTGATGAAGCCTGCCAGCCATCTGATGTGGCGCTGCTACCCTCCTGCTGCGGATCTTGATTTGCTCGCTCCAGGCCCGGCACTCCCAACCCGCTTGCTGCCTGCCTCCCCTGCTGCCGTCCCTGCGGCCAGGCACGCGGTTCCTGCGCATCGCCAAGTCTCCCGCCGCGCCCCCCGCCGCGTTTGCGTACCGGGTGACGGGCGCGGGGCTGGAGGCGGTGGCCGGCGTGGAGCCGCCGGCGCACATGCTGCGGGCGGGCAGCGTGGCGCACCAGGCCATCGCCAACGAGGTCCCCTACGAGCAGTCCAACCCCGACTTTGCGTTCTCGTGATGTGAGCTGTGGTGTTTGCAGGAAAGAGCCCTCTGTAACCCGCCGTCGCCGGCATGTTTGGACATGGGCGAGGACCTCCCACTGGGCCGGCGCTCAGGTCACGGCTGCTGTTGTCGAGGGATGCGGCCAGGCAATAGCCCAGGCTGCCGCTTCCGGGGCAAGGTGTGCCTGCTGCCTGCTATGCACGTCGCAGCAGGGAGCAGGGGCCTGGGGCTTAAACGCAGGTGCAGGGGTGAAACTGCCGAGCTAGCGACAGGGCAGCGGCCTTGCAACCCACAACAGCCGCCGTAGAGCGCTGCCCTCGCCCCCAGCAGGACTCCGACCGGCTTGGCAGCCCAGCTAGCCCCCCGAAGCCATGGACAGCATCAAGGCTCGCTGCGAGGAGGGCAAGGGTGAGCGGGGCGGGGCTGAAGGGCCATGCACGGCTCCCGCCCTGACAAACCCCGAGCGCTGCGCGCCGCTGCCGGCCCATCTCGCGCTCACGGCCTTCCAGCATCCTGTCCGGGCCCGGTTCAGCGCACCAGAGGGCCCTCGGGGGCCACCAATCTCCGCTGGCGTATTCACCCTCTCACCCTCATCCTCGCTTGCAGTCGTCCTGGAGACCGCCAAGATGGACCCTCGCTTCCCCCAGACCAACCAGACCAAGGTGAGGCGCGGCGCCGGTGTTGGCTGGGAGGACCCGGCCGGCAGTGTCGGCCGGTAGCGGCCGCGGTCGGGGCTGCAGAAGCTTGCGGCGTGCTGCCTGCTTCTGTTTGCTTCAGACGAAGGAATAGCAGCCTTGGAGTGCGATTTGCGAGAGCGCGCTAACACAGCAGCTGCGTGAGGGCGGGGGCACTGCGGGCTGCCTTGCCAGAGGTGCTTGCCCCCTGCCCGCCCGCCCCGACCCACCGCCGCTCGCTCTGCCGCTGCTGCCGTCGCCCCTGCATCGCAGGCCTGCTACGTCTGGTACAACGAGATGTACAAGTGCTACTCCCAGAAGGGCAAGGAGGATGCGGCGTGCCTGAAGATCAAGAAGGACGTGCGGTGAGGCCCCGCCGCGGCAGGCTGGCCAGCTCAAGAGCGGCGCCTGCCTGCTGCGTTGCCTGCTGCGTTAGCTGCTGCTGGCTGTGGGTGGGCTGCTCGTGGGTGCTCGTGGTGGGCTGCTTGTGGTGCTCGCGGCAAGGCCAGCTGCTGCAAGGGGTGGCCATAGGGCGGCTGCTGGTGGGCTGCTGGTGCTGTGTGTGCTGACCCCCGGGTGGTGTGCTCTGCCCCACAGCTCCATCTGCCCTGACGAGTGGCTGGAGACTTGGGAGGAGCACCGTGAGAACGGTAGGTCTTGGTTGGACATGCCTGCGCATGCCTGGTTTTGCTGCAAGCAGGAGGGGTGCACTGGCGCCAGGGCCGGCGAGGAGGCTGCCGCTAGCGATGCCGTCGTCAGCAGGCGACCCCCGCCTGCAGTCCTGGCTCGACGCAGTGCTGCCTGCCGTGCCCTGCAGGCACCTGGTGGGGAAAGTACTGAGCGGCTTGGCCCGGTCCACGCCGTCCCTTGCTTGCACCACACTCCCACCTCGCGGCGGCCCTCGCGCTTGCCTGTGCACGGCCGGCCTCGCAGCACCCTTGATGGGTGCTTCCCATGGCCGGGCCGTGTAATCGAGCATGCTGCGAGGGCCCTCACCCTCCACCCCCCACCTCTCGTCCTTCAATCATGAGGTGGCGTGAGGGCATCCCACGCAACACTTGTGCACTTGGCTCTTCCTTTTGCTCGACTTGTAACTTATGCTTCTCCTGAGGGAGTCGGGCAGCAGCGCAGCCACAGCGGGGCACCAGCAGGAAGAGGAGACCGGAGGGCACGCGCAGCTGCATCCTCCTTTCAGCAGGCCCACCCTCTCTGCAATTACAAGATGTGACTGTCACAACGTTTCAATGTACTATGGAGCACACCGGCTGTATTGTGTGTGTGTGCATGGATTGCTGCCCTCGGCGGCGGCTCGCCTCCTCGCGGCTCCAGCGGTCATCCCTGGCAGAAGCGGGCGGCGGCCGCCTCGCACTCTGAGAACCCGGCGAACCGGTTGGCGTTGCCCTGCAGACGCAGCCGGCAGGAGCACAGGTGGGGTCGGGCAGGCAGGTGGTGGTGGCTGGCTCCCGCCGCTCGCCCTGGCAAGCGGCAGCGGCTGCGGCTGCCTGGCTGCCCGTCCAGCGGCGGAGCAGCGCACCTGGCAGCCGCCGTAGAGGAAAGGCCTGCAGGTGGCGGCGGCGGCATCGTAGTACCAGGACGGAATCGCGGCGCGGCAGGGGCCCCTCTCAGCGGGCTGGCCGCAGAACTGGCCGTCGGCGGGGCCCTGCGCAGGCGACGGTGGGTGGCAGCGAGTTGGCCGGCACGGCACGGGCGGCAGCTTTTGGAGTGCTGCTTGGCCAGCTTTAGGAGTGCTGCCCTGTGAAGCTGGAGCAGGCTGGGGTGGGCGCTCGTGCTCCAACGCCCACCTCGACGCTTGGCGCCTCCCCCACGCTCTCCACGGCGTCGGCTGGCGCTTGGGTGGTGGCCTCGGCGACGGCCGGCGCGGGCTGCACGCCGCACAGGTCACACGTGCGGCGGCAGAAGCCGCCGCCGATCATCCAGCTCTCACCACACTGCAGGCACGGTGTGGGCGGTGCACCCAGCCGTTTTCAAAGGGAGCAGGCGTGAGGTGTCCTGAGCGCTGATAGGGGCTGCCCAGGCCCTTCACCCTCCCAGAACCGGCCTTCCAGTGCCCGACCTCCACCTCCATCTGTGCCCACCTTGCCCCAGCCCTTCTGCTGCTCGCAGGTGAAGCCCTCGGGCGTGGGCCTGTCCACACAGGGGGCGGCGGCGGCGGGAGCGGGCGGGGCCGCCAGCAGCAGGCTGCGCCGCGAAGACGGCGCGGAGCCAGCCTCGCCTGCGGGGCAGACCCATGAGGGGTCCATCACATGCAGGCAGGCAGGCAGGCGTGTGCGAAAACACGGCGCACTCGCGCACTCGCTGCTTATTGAAAATGGCCTTCTGCACACCCCGCCTACCTGCCAAAATGGCCACGGCGAGCGGGAGGCAGGCGGCGGCCGAGGACGCCAGCAGGCACACCAGCAGCGCTCCTCGCCGGCCCGTCATTGCTCGGCCGTTGCTGCGTTGCTGCGTTCGATTGCGGTGCTGCGAGCGCGGCCTGCTGCTCTCCGGCGAGGGGATACGAAGGTGGGATGGCGGAGGAGGTGCGCGCCCACTCCGCTTGAGGGCACACGGGAGTTTGGTTGCCGCTGCGTGTGCAAAAGCGGTGGAGCTGAAAGCAAGCGGCGCGTTGTGAGAAATGGGAGGGCCTCGATTGGCACCAGGATGCAGGTGGCAAAGGGAGGCTTGGGCTGGCCAAACGCAATTGCAGCGAGCTGTTCGGAGTCTGTTAGCCACATTATGGCACCCAAGGCCTCGACCTGCCCCCTGCGCCTGGGCCGCACCACCGCGGGGGCAGCCGCTGTGCCGCCACCTGAGCCGCCGCCGCCGCCGCCGCCGCCACTTGGAGAGGCAATGCGCACCATTCCCGCTTGGCCCGTGGCGCCGCGCAGCTGGCTCAGGCACACACTGTATTTACAGCTTCTCGTCTCATTCCATGTAAGCAAAGGGCAGGTCCAAGTGTGTCGGGCGAATGGCGCTATGGCAAGGCTCTCATGCATAGCTACTGCGTGGTGCGGTGCGAGTGCGGGATGGCTCCCAGCCATATCAGGGGAAGTGCAGCAGGAGTGCTGAGGCTGTCTATGTGCAGGTGGTGTCAACGATCCGCCCGGTCTCAGAGCAGCGCGGCCCGCTTTCCTGGGGGTGCCACACAGCGGGCAGGTCGTGCCAGCTCAGCACTGGCAGCGCCCGCTCTGCTGCACGTTGTTCTGGAACACCGGGCCGTAGGTGAGCGGGCTGGAGCTGGCCTGCAAGCGGGGCAGCGCGGGGCCACTGTGTGTGTCGGGAGCAGAGGGGCAGGGGGAGGTGCTGCAGGCGCTGCGGCGGCGCGAGGCAGCCAGAACAGAGCAGCCTGCGGCAGGGCTGCAGGGTGCCGTAGGGCCGCATGATGCTGCAGACGCCTCAGCAGTGCCGCAAAGAGGTGCTGCAGGCGCCCGCCTGCCAGCCAGCCACCCAGCCACCCACCTTGCCGAACTGGCATCGCTGGTTGGAGTTGCCGGCGCACACGCAGCGGTCGGGGGCGTTCTTGCAGCACTGGTCGCGCACAAAGCCAAAGCACTTGGGCACCTGGCCGCCGCCGCCGCCCGCCTGGGTGCCGCCGCCGCCGGTGGTGGGGGTCTGCCCGCCGGTGGTCGGGGCCTGGCCGCCGCCTGCGGGGCAGGAGCCACGTGCAAGCGAACATCACAGCCATTGACCTCATGCACGCCCATGTGCGGTGCAGCTGGCAGGGGAGGCAAGACAGGGAGAGCACTTGCAGCAGAGGAGAGAGCTTGCAGCAGGCCATGCTGCTGCTCTGTCTCTGAGCATTGTGCAGAGCAATTGCTGGGCGGCTCGCGGCAGGCCCTCCCCCGGCGCACCGGCAGTGGCGCCGCCGCCGGCGCCCGCCTGGGCGCGGCACTGGCTGAGCTGGGCAAAGGCGTTGGCATAGGCGCTGGCAGTCGCCTCAGCCTGCAGTGAAAAGGGTTGCGAGCAGGAAGGGCAGGGGAAGCACAGCTTGAGGGCGTCTCTCAGTGGGCTGGCAAGGCCGTGAAATGCACGCTGCGGTGGCTTGAGGTGGCCAACAGCGGCAGCCCCAGCCGAGAGGCTCCCAGCGCTGGCGTTGGGTGGGGCTGCCGCTCTGGGCGCAGGCGCGGCATGGTAGCAGTGCACAGCAGCAAGCAGCAGCGGGGCACAGCAGCAGCAGCAGCAGCAGCAGCCGCAGCGGAACACAGCATCAGGGCGCAGCATCAGGGCGCCAGCTGACACCCCGCCCGACATCCTAGCCGCTCACCACGGCGGTGGAGATGGCGGAGCTGCTGGCGGAGGCGCTGCCGCCGCCGCTGGCGCACGCGTCGGCGGCGGCTGCAGGGCGGGGAGGGGGGTCAGGGACTCAGTGAGTCACCCTGCGCTGACGCGCTTGCAGCGTGGGGCAGGCAGCCGGCCAATGCAAGCAGCATTGCACAGCATGCAGAGGTCTGAAACCTCCAGGCGTGCGGAGGGCAGGCGGGGGCAAGCCGCGGCCGTGCAGCAGCTGTTGGCAGCGCCGGCGGGAGCAGCGGCCGCGAGGCGGCGGCGGGCGGGCGCACCGGAGGCGGTGGCGGTGGCGATCTGGGTGTCCACTGCCTCTGCCAGGGCGCTGGCGATGGCCTGGGCGTTGTTGGGGCAGCAGGAGGCGGCGGAGGCAAAGGCCTGGGCGGAGGCCTTGGCCAGAGCGGTGGCCACGGCGGAAGCTGCAGGCCCGCGGCAGCAGGGGAGGCGGTGCGAATTGACGCCAGGCCGGCACTGGTGCTGCCTGGCAGCGCCTGGGCAGGCGGGGCAGGCAGCAGCGGGCTGCAGCGGGCTGCAGCTGGGGCAGGGGCGGTCCTGCTGGCTGGCATCCCGCACCTGTACCGCTGGCGCTGGCGCAGCCGCTGCACCCTGGGGAGGACTGCACTTCGGCCGCCGCCTCGGCAAAGGCGGTGGCGGTGGCCTGCAGGCGGCGGCGCAGGGCGATGCAGGCGGGGGGCACCATGATGAGGCAGGGCGGCAGGGGAGCAGCACAGCTCGGCTGGGCGCAGGCCGCAGCGAGCAGCTGCCACAGCATGAACGGTTCCAGCCACGAACGCCTGAGCCAGGAATCAGCAGCAGGCTGTGGCGCAGCTGCCGCGGCGGGGTGGCTCCCCACAGCTACGCGGGCCAGAGCCAAAACTCAGCAGCAGGCTGTTGCTTGGCATCGCCCTCTGGAGAGCCAGCAGCGCATCACAGCACAGCCCCGCGGCTCACCCGGGCCGTGGCCTGCGCGGACGCCTCGGCCTGCGCGTTGGCGTCGCCGCCGCCGCACACGTTAGCCACGGCGCTGGCCACAGCCTCGCTGACGGCGGTGGCCTGCTCGCTGAAGCCGCCGGCGGAGGATGAGGCCCTGGAGGAGCAGGCTGCAGGGGGCGGGGGGCAGGGGAGGGGCGGGGCAGGGGAGGCGCGTGAATGACCTAGTGCTTCGTGGAAGGACGGCAGGCTGAGGCTGACGGGGAGGGCTAGAGCGGCGGCTCCCTTCAAAGAAGGGAGGAGGGGACGGCGCCTTGGGTTGGCAGCAGGGCCGCGCGGCGCGGCAGCAGGGCCTGCTGTGCTTGCTGGCTCACGCGCTCGGCGCCGCCGCGCGCAGCCGCGAGCGGCGCAGCGGGCCGGGCTGAAGCTAGGCTGCTGCAGCGCTGTAGCTAGTACTAGCAGCAGCAGGCCCAAGCATGCCTCAAGCAGGCCTCCGCATGCCTCAAGCAGGCCCCAGGCAAGCAGGCCCCAGCAGGCCCCAGCAGGCCCCAGCGGGCACAAGCAGGCCCCAGCATGCCCCAGCAGGCGCCAGCTCACATCCCACTCCCGAGTTGATGGCGGAGGAGATGGCGCCCGCATTGCCGGAGGACAGGCTGCCGGGGTCCACGGTACCGCCTGAACCCTCGCTGATGGCCGAGGCCACCGCCTGCGCAGGGCGGCATGCAGCGGCAGCGGCGGGCGCGGGGCGTGAGGCTTGGCAGGGCCAGGGGCTATAGCAGGCAGCGACAGGGCCCCGTGTCGCAAGTGCCTCTGTGACGTGCAATGCAGGCTGTCGACACACGAAGCAAAAGGGAAAGCGAGCAGGGCAGCGGGGGGCGCGGGGCGCGGGGCTTGGCGGCCCCCGCCAGCGCTGTGTGCGCTGCAGGCCGGCGACGGAGCCGCGCCGCCGGTGCCGCCGCGCTCGGCAGCTGCGGCCGGCAGAACGGTACTGCTGGTACGTCCGGTACAGGTGATACTGCCAAACCAAAGGCGCTGCACCAGGCTGGCTGGCCAGAGGGAGGCCCCACCCACCTCTGCGCTGGCGCCTTGCCCAGTGGCCTCCGCCGCCGCCTGCGCCAGCGCCTGGCTGTTGCCCGAGGCGGCGGCGATGGCGGTGGCCTGGGCGATGGCATCGCTGTCCCCGGAAGCAGCCGCCTGCAGGCCACGCCAGGCAGGCGGGCGGGCAGGTGGGCAGGCAGGTGGGCAGGCAGGCAGGGTCGAAGGTTCAGAGAGGCAGCGAGCAGCCCTGGGAGGTCAGCGGCCCGGGGAGAGCAGCGGGCACCCCCCAGCCCGGCTGGCTGCCGGCCGCCCCTCGTCTGCGCGGCGCGCGGCGCGCGGGCGGCCGCGGCGGCTGCGGTCACCTCGGCGATCGCGCTGGCGGCGGCGTTGGTGTTGCCGGAGGCGACGGCGGAGGCGATGGCCTCGGCGCGGGCGCTCTGGAGCAGGCGGCGGCGCGCGGCGGGCGCCCCTGCACGGCAGCCACGTCGGCGGCGCGGGGGGACAGGCAGGCAGCGAGGGGCGCTCAGATGCATGGCAAGTGAGGGCATGCAGGGCTGGCACCGTGCTTTGACACAGCAGGCTTTACAGGCCCCCCCCCAACAGCAGTGGCACCGGCTGAAGCTGTCAAAGCGGTGCCAGGGACGGCGGGCGGGCGGGCCGGCCGCTCACCCGGCACCTCCCTGCCCTTGGCCGGCAGGGCGGCTGCCAGCAGCAGCGCCAGCAGGGCAAACGCCGTGCAGGCCCTCATCGTCGCGAACAGGTCCGGAGGAGGCTTGGAGGAGGCCGGCGCGCGGCAGCAGCTCACAAACCCTGCGTTTGCCAGGGAGTGGGGGGCGGCAGCAGGCTCCGATCGGCGCCCTGGGCGCAGCCGAGGCTGCAGGAGGGTGAAGGGGAGGCGCTGCACGGCTATTCGCGCCAGGGCACACGACCTGGGCAGGCACACCTGTGAGGGAGGGAGACAGGGCCTGGGCGCACTCTGGAGTCACAGGGATGAGAGGGAGGGAAGGCCGAGGGAGCCAGGAAGGGAGAGGCTGCTGCCGCGGCCCACGGGACCTGCCAAACCCAGCTGGCAGAAGCTGCCGGTGGAGCCGCTTCAAGCTTGATTGATCGGGAGAGGTTGACCATGGGCACCGAACCACAGGCAGGAGGCAGATTTCTCTGGCGAAATGCCGCCAAGCGCTCACGCCGCCGCCGCCGCCTCAGCTGCTCGCGCCGCCGCCGGCCTCAGCTGCCGCCAATACACGTTTAAACAGGATTGCTGCCAGAGCAAAATGGGGCAAATTCAGCCCATGAAAGCTGTACAGAAGCGGTTCTCCAGATGGAATGAACTGTGCAGGTGAAAACTGAGCCGCCGCTCCGCAGATGCGCAACACTGTCAGTAGGCATCAGCACAGGGCGGTCAGGGGTCCCAGGGATCCCACACGTGCATGTACAGCGCCAGGATGCGCCCGCTCAGCTCTGCCGGCAGCACGGTCCTGCTCTGCTGCTGCGCCCACGCCAGACTGAGCGCCGCTGCCCGCAGCCGTGCACGCTGCTCCTCTGCCAGCAGCCCCACCAGCCACCCCGCCTCTGCCGCGGAGCGCTCGAGCACGGCAGGCAGCGCTCGAGCTAGGTCGGGGCTGGGCGCAGGAATCGAGTGCCACTGCTCCCGGCTGAGCGGCAGGCAGGCCGCCAAGTTGGCGTAGAGGTAGGCAGACTCCCCGCCGGACTGTAGCAAGATTCCCAAGGATGGCTGCACTGCAGGCGCCGCCCGCAGCAGGCAGCGTGCCGTGTCCCAGAATGAATACCTGTGGGGCCCGCAGCGATATGGGGAGGTCCCGGGGAGGTCCCGGTAGGTTCCCTTCAGTAGCACCAGGTGTAGCGGCGTGCAGCCGTCCCCATCTGGCGCAAATGCCAGCGATGGTGCCGCATCAAGCAGCAGCTGCACGGCTGCTTCGTTTCTGCGGTAGGCTGCAATGTGGATGGGTGCTTGCTTAAATCTGTCGAGGGCTGTCGCAGCGGCAGGTGCCGTCGACAGCAGCATCCTCACCGCATCTCTGCCTGCACAGCCTGACGCTGCTCCAAGGTGCAGCGGCGTCCTGCCGTCAATATTCACTGCCACGGCGTTGGCTGGGGCAGCCTCCAGCAGCAGCTGCACGGCTGGCTCGATGCCGCGGTAGGCGGCCAGGTGGATGGGTGCATTCTGGTATCTGTCGAGCAGTGTGGCTGCGGCAGGTGCCGCCGACAGCAGCGTCCTCACCACATCCATGACTGTCGTACGGTTGTAACCAGGGTTGTCACCTGTTTCGCGCAGCACCAGGTGTAGCGGCGTGCGGCCATCTTCATCTGGCGCACACGCCAGCGATAGGTCCGCGTCCAGCAACGGCTGCACGGCTGCTTTGTTGCTGAAGAAGGCGGCCAGGTGGATGGGTGTTGACTGGTGGTCGTCGAGCATTGTGGCTGCGGCAGGTGCCGCCGACAGCAGCATCCTCACCACATCGCTGCCTGCACAGCCTGCTGCTTGGTGCAGCGGTGTCATGCCATTGCCGTCCACTGCCACGGCGGCGGCTGGGGCAGCCTCCAGCAGCAGGCGCACGATTGCCAACTGGGCAGGTTTCCCTCGAAGGGCATCTGCCACAGCGGCATAATGCAGTGCTGTCGCTGTGCGTCCCCAAAAGGTTTTTTTTCGCCGCTGTCGCTGGAGCAGCCTCCAACAGCAGCCTGACCACCCCAGCATGTTGCCAGTGGATGGCATGCTTCAACGGCGACCAGTAGGTCATATAGTAGTCGCTCGCATGAGGTTGATCCACCGGTGCGCCTGCCGCCAGCAGCTGACGCACAGCCTCCTCGTCCCCATCCCCAGCTGCATCCCTCAGCTTGCTTGCCAGCCCCATCACGCAGATGACCAACCAGATAAGCCCTGCAGTAGGGTGGCGGGCGGCCGGGTTGGCGGCAGCGCAATAGCCCAGACCGCAGCGCCCGTGCACATGCGGGCTGCTGCAGCTCTGCACGCAGCTGCTCCTCCACGCAGAGCTGTTGCTGCCAGGAGGCTCACCTGGGAGAACGAGGCGAGCACCTCGAGGCGAGAGCAGCCCACCAGGTGTGTGCTTCTTGCTCGCTGCTGCCTTTGTGTCGGCGCACCAACTCCAGGAAGCAGCAGGCCCAGTGCGCCGCGCTGCGCTGAGTCGCAGCACGCCCCGGCCTGCCGCACCTCCGTTTTGTGCTAGCTGCGCACTTGTGCCCACAGCACGACGGATCCGGAGGGATATTGTGCTATTGCCAGCCACTGGGCCGTTGGTGCCTGCTCATCTCCCCTCCCACCACCGCCATCGGCAGAGCGCCCATGCTCTGAGACAGCCTGAGATGGCTGGGGCCAGCAGGCCAGGAAACGCGGGCGCTTGGGCTGCAAGGCCAAGGTGACTGGAAGCTTTCCAAAGCAGGGAAGGAGAGAGCAAACGCACGCCGGCCCAGCGTGCGCTGTACAGCATGTGCACGATGCCCGGCGGCGGCGGCAGCAGCAGTGCCGCCACCTTGTTGATGTGCATTTACACTACTACAGACGCGGCATCGAAGCATCCAACAACTCATTTGCCAAAGACAATTTGGAGAGATGGGCGCACACGCTGGGCCTCCACAACAGCGGAATGCACTTCCGCATTGCTGAAGTGTCGATTGCAGGAAAGGCGCTGAAGGCTGGGGTGCTGGGCCGCCCAGCACACAATGGTGGGCAGGTCTGCCTCATCTTCACCCGCTCCCAGCACCTCCAGCACCTCCAGCTGCTGCGCCGTCGCCAGCGCTGGCAGGCTGAGAGCAATGAGGTTGGGCGATGCGCCAAGCTCGCGCAGGCTGGCCTGCCAGGGGCCGGTGGGCAGCGCCTCATCATCCCATGCTGGTGTCAGCCACAAAGAGCGCAGGTGTTGCAGGCTGGACAACGTTGTCGGTACATTTGGGTAACCGTCCAGCTCCAGAAACGTCAGCTGTTGCAGGTGTGGCAATGCTTGCTCCACCCTCGCAAAATCGTCGTCACGTTGATCATTATACTGTTCAGTCTGAACGACTGCGAGAGAGTGCAGGGTGGTAAGCTGATGGAGGCAGGCTGGAATCCCGTAGCAATGCAGCAAGTTTAGTCGCCGCAGGGTGGTTAAGCGGGTGAGAGGCGTGTAGGTGTCGACGTTGATGATACAATTGATCAGTGAGGGGCTGCAGAGTCTGCTCAGGTCACCAATCTGCACAGCAGAGATGCAACGGGGTAGGGCACATGGCAACCGCAAGCACAAGTCATGCCAGCTGACGGCTCAGGCCCGAGGGCAGTCTTGCTCCTACTGCCCTAGTTTCAATGACTGGACAGTTTGCTGCGTAGCAAGACTAACCTGAACAGGAAACATCAAATCCATGCTGAATCTTGTCTCGATGCCGGCATCATTTGCAACCTCAAGGCTGGTCAGGAACGGCGGCAGGTGGATGCTTGGGTCCTGCCAGTCTATGTCCAGCTCCTCGCCCACATCCAGCCGCAAATGCTCCAGCGCTGTCAGGTGGCCCAGCGACTCTGAGAGCCTCACAGCATCGCATCCACTCAGCGCATCTGTGTCCAGGCGCCGCAGGCTGTGCAGCGGCGCCACACATCTGCTGAGGTCGTACTCAAAGCCGAGGGAGAGGTCCAGCGCTTCCAGGCGGCTGCATGCCGCCAGCGAGTCCGCCAGCTCTGCAGCACAATCTTGCAGCTGCTGCTCTGTCAGACGACGGTGCCGCTTCACGGACAATCTAGGCCCACGAGGCTGCACTGTGAGCCGCAGCTCCCGCACATGCGCCGCTGAGACCTGCCGCAGCCAGCCACATAGCGATTGCAGGCGGCGCCGGAAGCGTTTGCCGCTGTGGCCATCGATGCTCGCGCTCAGGCTGCGCAGCAGGGGCGGGCTGTGCGCCGCCTGATTCCAGCGCTGGCACACCAGGGGAACGGTGCGGTGCCTGCATGCAACAGGGCAGCCTGCTGAGCACAGCGCCACCCAACCCTTTACTGCGCAGGCATCGCTGGCGGTGGCGGCGCCGCTGCCTGCCGTCCGCCTCGCGCTCGCTGCCTCGGCTGGCTGGCAGGCGGTCACCCGAGGTTCCCAGCCTTCTCGCAGCACCACAGGGAGAGTGGATTGAGCACCCAAACGCACGAGAGCAGGCGGCCGAGAGCCTGTCGGGTCCAGCAGACCGAAAATCGACTCCAGCACGCCATCAGGCAGCTGCTGAATGCCGGTAGGCATGGCTGGCAGGCAGCAGCAAGGAGCGTGCGCCGCTTCGTGGACAGGGCCGAAGCGCCTGGCACCGTTCCAGGGCACGAGAGCAGAGAGCACACAGACGCAGGCGTTCAGGACTTGTAGATAGGGCGAGTTTTGGGAGCCCTGCAAGCACCTGGGAGCCCCTGCGCGCTGCCGCTTCGCACGCTGCCTGGCACCGGCAGCGGTCGCTTGAGTCAGCTGTTTACAAGAGGAAAGAGCTGCAACGACGGGCCGGCAGCGCTGGGCCCACACGTCACAGCAGCGGGTTGGTGGCCGACAGCTTGTGGCTGCGGCGCAGGAGCGGGTTGGAGTCGCGGGTGGGCTCCCCCGTGGTTTCGTTGAAGGCCATGTGCATGTAGCGGGCGATGGCCTTGCCCGCTTTATCATCTGCCTCCGCCTGCATGACCTGCAGGGTGGAGGCAGCAGGGGAGGGCGGCAGCGGAGAGGTGGGTGGGCCCTGCAGCAGCAGGGCTGGTGCGGCAGCGGCCGGAAGACAGGCAGGCACCCGGCAGCGACCATGCCTAGCACAGCCTGGCGTAGCAGCACCCTTCAGCGTATCCGACCAGGCTCGTCCGCTTGGCTGCTCACCCACACAACGCACCTGGCGCACTCTCTTGACCTTGGTCTCTGTGTCCTCCTTATCAAGAGGGTCCTCAGGGAGCGGCCGCTTCGGCAGCTGCTGCTGCTGCTGCCGGCCTGCTGCTGCTCCTCCCTGCCCTGCCGCTGCCGCGCCCGCAGCGCCTGCCGCGCCGCCCTGCTGCTTGGCCTTGGGCTGCGGCCTGGGTGCATAGCCCAGCCCCAGGTTGCCCTTCTGCTGGAAGGCGGCTACCGGCTCTGCCACTCCTTGCTCCTGGGCGCCGAGGCCTGAACCCTCTGCCCACCCCGCTTTCTTCAGCAACTGGTAGCCCACGTTGGTGCGGGAAATGCCGTACCGTATTCCCTCCCTGGGCGCCCGCCGCTGCTTCGCCTGCGCCTGCTCTGCACCCGGCAGCTCCTGCTGCTGCTGGCGAGGGGGCGGCGCCTGCTCGGCCCCACCTGCAGCCGCGGGCTGCTCGCCGCGGGGCCACGGCCCGGCCGGCTGGTTGTACTGCAGCTGGCGCTCCTCGGCCTCCTGCTCTGCACGCGCTGCGGCGCTGCCCAGCCCAGCGTGCGACGGCTCTCCCGTCTCTGGCGGTGCCGCTGCTGCTGCTCCTCCTACTGCTCTTGTGGTGGCATAATCTCCCGACCTTACTGCTGCCGGGCCGCTGCCGCCGGTCTCGCCGCCATCCTGCAGTGTGCCGCCGCTGACCCAGCGCGCCTCCGAGGTGTTGACTAGGGAAGCATAGAAGGAGGCAACCGCCTGCCCCTTCTTCACGCTGGCAGCGCCACCACTGCCGCTGCCAGAGGCCTGCCTCGCTGTCGCTGGCTTCTGCGCGCCGACAAACTCGGGCCGTCCCTGCAGGGCAAAACCAAACCCAGGAGGGTTGAGTGAATCACTGGTCAGCTGCTCCAAGTGACAGGGACAGCAGGAACAGCAGAACTGGGGTGGTGCTGCCACCACCGCAGGCGCCCGCCTGCCGCAGCCAGGGTGCCCAGCGGGCTGCTGCACGCAGCGGAGAACCAGGAGCCGCTGCAGTCGCACCTGCTGTCGCTTGAAATTCATGCAGCAGAGCTCAAGACGTGCCGCAGTAGCCCGGGCGGGCCGCTGGCCAACAGGTCGGCTCGAGCGCGGGTCTGGAACGTCTGCCAAGGTGCCTGCAGTTGCGGCAAAGTCACAGGAGGCTGCGAGTCCGGCGGCAGGCCTCTGGAAGGCACCTGGGCTTGCGTCCTGCTGCCAGCTAGGATGTACGGCGGGTTCGTGGCTGGACTTGCACCCGGGATTGCCCGATGGCAGGCCGGAGCACACATCTAGTGTCCAGTGCAAGCCAGGGCCTCACCTGCACGGCACGTGCCGTGCAGGTGCATGATTTCACAAAGTCTTCGCTGACCCGCCCCAATCGCATCGGCATATTGAAATAGCATGGCGACCCTGGTGACCCGTCCAGGCGACCCCCAGGCCCTCAAGGCCGCCGCCGCCGCTGCGGCAGCAGGCACGCCACTGGCCGTGCAGCCTCTGGGCGAGGCGGCGGCCTGGAAGAAGCTGCTGGCGGACAGCAGCTGCCCCGAGGCGGCCCGCCAGCTGTTCCTGGTGCTGCCAGACGGCACCGCGCTAGCCGACCCAAACGCCATCACCCGCTACCTCGGTGAGCCATCCCCCGCTAGCCTGCACTGCACTGGCCTGTTCGCTGCGTTGTTCCGACGCTGGCCACATGTGTATCGAGCCGGGGTGGTGCAGCAGCAGGAGCAGCAGCCGCAATCCTGCTGCAGGTGCCGCGCCGCGCCGCAGCACAGGCCCGCCCGCGTGGCACAGCTCACCGCTCACGCGTGACGCCCCGTGCTGCCACGCAGGCACCGCGCTGCTTCCGGGGCTGGACCTCGGGGCCGAGGGCTGGCTGGAGTGGGAAGAGCGCTGGCTGCGGCCCGCTGTGTATGCAGGCGACGCGCCGGCGCTGGCCGCCGCCGTGCAGAAGCTGGGTGCTGCGCTGGCGGGCGGGGCGCACTTCCTGGCTGGGCCCCGGCTGGGCCTGGCCGACATTGCCGTGTATGCCACGCTCAGCCCGCTGGCAGGTGCGCGCTGTCGAGGGCTGGAGGCTGCGGGCAGGGAGGCTGCCTGCCGCTCCCTTCCAGCCTTGTGTTTCGCGCTGGTTGCCGCCTTGCTTCCAGGCACGAACCCGGCCTGCCTGTCTGAGGCTGCCTGTGTTGAGCGCACCCGCCTCACGGTTGGCTTTGGTGGATGCTGCTACCCCCCGCTGCAGGCAGCGCCGCGGTGGCGCCCCTGCAGCCCTACCTGTCCCGCGTGGCGGCGCAGCCCGAGGTGGCGGCAGCCGCGCAGCAGGTGGCGCTCGGTACCGCAGAGGACGGTGGCGCCGCGCCCGCCGCCTTCCTGGCCGACGCGGCGGCCTGCCGGGCTGCGCGCCCCAAGCTGCCCATCCCCGGGCAGCGCAACATCCTGATCACCAGCGCCCTTCCATACGTCAACAACGTGCCCCACCTGGGGAACATCATCGGCTGCGTGCTCAGGTGGGGGCTGGGTGGAGGGTGGGGCTGCGTGGCTGGCTGCGGCTTGCGCTGCGGCTGGGCAGCCGGTGGGCCGCTGCGAGGCGCCTCCGTGCGTGTGCTGGCTGGCTGTGTCCCAGCCTCCAAGCATCCTGGCATGCTGCTGCTGTGCCCAGCTCCCCTTTCCCCTGGCCACCCCCCTTCCGCCCTTCCCCTCCCGACCTCCTCGCCCCTCCCCTCTCCCCTGCTGCATTATATGGTGCCCGCAGCGCCGACGTGTATGCCCGCTTCTGCCGTGCCCGCGGCTACAACGTGGTGTACGTGTGCGGTACCGACGAGTTCGGTACTGCCACCGAGACCAAGGTGAGGCGGCCTGCTGTTGTGCTGCTTCCTGTGTGTGGGGTGGTGATAAATGCATGTGCCGGGTCAGCTGGGCTTTGGGGAGATCAATCCAAACCGGTGCGCTACGATTGCACAAGCCAAAAGGTGGAGGCATGGCCGCCGGCGCCGACTGCCGACCGCCGCCGCATGCCCGCCACACACCGGCGCAGGCGCTGGAGGAGGGCCTGACCTGCCAGCAGATCTGCGACAAGTACCACGCGATCCACAAGGCGCGGGGCGGCGGCGTGGGGGGGCCTTCCTGCGTGCCTGTTGCAGGGCCCGTCTGTCTGCAGCCTGTGGCTGGGGCGCCGGCATGGGCCGGCAGGCCAGGGCGCCATGATGGGGGCGTTCCTCCCCGCCTCTCCCCATGCACTCACTCCACTTTCTTTCCTCCCTCCCTCCCTCCCTCCCTCCCCACCCACCACCACCACCACCACCCCTGCAGTCCATCTACGAATGGTTTGACATCGGCTTCGACAAGTTTGGGCGCACCCCCACCCGCGCGCAGACCGAGATCGGGCAGGTGCGGGCGCGTGTGCGCCCTCTGGCCAGGCTGGCGGCGGCTGCGGCTGTCGCTGGGGGTGTAGCTGGGGGTGTGGTGCGTGTCTGTGTGGGGAGGTGGGCACAGGCCCATCAACGGACAGGAGCTGGAGTGCTTGCCTGCCTGCCCCCTCGCACTCTTATTGTACCTTTCCGAGCCAGCGCGCCTGCATGCCGCTGCTCCTGGCTCCCGGCGGCCTGCCCTCCCGCCACCCTCCACCCCCCACCCTCCACACCTCCCCTCCTCCCCTCCTGCCCCTCCTCCCCTCCTCCCCGGATGCCCCCGCCAGTCGATCTTCCGCACCCTGGAGCAGCGCGGGTGCCTGGTGGAGCAGACCATGGAGCAGCTGTTCAGCGAGCCGCTGGGCAAGTTCCTGGCAGACAGGTGGGGGATGGGGGGCAGCTGCTGCTGTCTGTTGGGGGGGTGCCGTCCAGGCGCATGCAGGGCGGGGCCGGGGGCAGCTGCTGTTGTGTGTGGGGGTGCGGACCAGGCGCGTGCAGGGCGGGGCAGGGGCGTTGGATGCGTGCAGGGCACAGCGGAGGGGTTACGGCATGCGACTAGGGGCCTGCCTCCCCAAACCGCACACGCATGCCCTTGCCCCCGCGGGCCGTCTCGCAGGTTTGTGACCGGCACCTGCCCCAAGTGCAAGTACGAGGATGCGCGGGGCGACCAGGTGCGGCGCCCGCTGCCCTTGCCGCCTCTCCCAGCTGCTGGCCAGGCTGCATGCTGGCTGCCGCTTCCGCCGCTGCCGCCAGCCGCGGATCGCTGGTCACTCCTTACCCCCTGCTCCGCCACAACCACAGCTACAACCACAGCTACACACAACGTGCACACACACACACACACACACACACACACACACACACACCTGCGCCTGCAGTGCGACGCGTGCGGCTCCCTGCTCAACCCCACGGAGCTCATCGACCCCAAGTGCAAGCTCACGGGTGAGGGGCTGGGCTGGGCGGTCGCCTGCGTGCAGCTGTTGCGGAACAGGCTGGCCGTGAGTGGGTGGGTGGGTGGGGTGGGGGGTCATCAACTTGCTGGGCAGGTGTTGCAGGTGAAGCCGGATGGCAGGCCGAACCACCACCACCAGCACGACCGCCACACGCACGCCAACCACCTTCCACACCGCCCCCGCCTGCAGGCTCCACCCCCGTGGTGCGCCAGACCAAGCACATCTTCCTGGACCTGCCCCAGCTCAGCGCCGACCTGCAGGCAAGGCCGCTTCTCCCTGAGGCGTCTCCTCCTTAGCCGGCTCGACAGCAGCGGCCGAGCGGGCACGGAAGTTGGCTTGGGGCAGGAAGGCTGCCAGAGGCAGGGGCAGCAAGGTGGCCCACTTGTTGGCGCGGTTGGGAGGCGCCCCTGCGCGCCTGCCCTCCCCTTGCGCCACACAGTGCACCCCGCCCACCCGTGGCCTCTCCTGCTGCCGCCCTGCGCCGCCCGCAGGCCTACATCGACCGCGCCTCGGCGCTGGGCGGCTGGAGCAGCAACTGCGTGCAGGTGCGGCTCGAAGCGATTTAGCACTAAAAAACGCCATGCTCACCCCGCCCACACCACTCCCGCCACCTGGGGCCTGCTACCCGACACGTTCCCTGCTGGCGCGCCATCCCTCCCCATCACCCCACCCACCCCACCCACCCTCCCTATCACTCACCCCACCCCACCCTCTCTGCC